AGTAAATACTGTCTTTTAAAATATTTAGCATGTAGGCAAATATACATATAACATAAATGGAAAGAAAAATTTATACACATCCTGATTAAAATTATAACACAAATGCCAAAAAGTAATACAAACAAAAATCTACTGTATAATTAAAGGTAAGACAAATGTACCAATAGAAGAGGGACTACATTCCCATGTATGTATATAGGAAGTAAGTATAACAGAAATGGCATGATGAGGAAACAATGAACAAAAAGTAATTTTTAAGATATCAGATATACAAAAATTTAAAAGACCACTGAAATTCAGAGAGGGCATGGTTGTATTGGGAAAGATGCACTCATACTGCAAGGAACTTAAAAAAGCATAACTTTTGGAGGGGTTGAGTACACTATCAACACCAAAAGATATACATGCCCTTTGACCTTGCTATTCTATTCTACTTATGAGAAAGAAATCCTGCAAATATTCTTGAACAACTATACAAACTGCCAGCAGCACCCGGATGTTCTCTATGTACTACATATAATGCACAAACTAACGAAAGCAACTCAATGGACATAATCCAACACCATGAGAAACTAAACAAACAACATCATACAATAAATACTATGCCTCATTTTTTAAATGACTTGAATCTGAATATACTGATGCAAAATTGCAAAAGATAAACACTGTCCTCTCTGACAGCTTTCCTATTCTTACTTCCAGAACTCGGGACTATGACTGATTTTTCCTTGTAAGAGCCATCAAATTGTGATTTCCAATTTTCTGCAGAAGCTTAGCAATTTAAACTAATTTAAACTTTCAGACCTCACGGACCACCAGTGGTCCTCAGACCACCGGTTGGTGACTGTCGCTCCAAAGGTTTCCTTATCAATGTACTATGAGGTACATAGGAATTTTATAAAACCAGTTTCAACTACAGTAGGTCCTTGGGTTACTTTGGAGATCCGTTCCTACGGCACAACGTAACGTGATTTTCACTGTAAGTCAGAACCCAGCTATATAAGCACCTACATCACTCACATGGAGCACATACACAGCAGTAATGAAGTGAAAAAAATTTAAAAGAAAGATAACAATTCCTGACCTTTACTTGTGCTAAATAAATAAAAAACATAAAGCACATATACACATACATCAATATGATGGAACTTTTTTTTAATAGAAGCCCGGTGCACGAAATTCATGCATGGGGGGAGGGGGGGAGAGTCCCTCAGCCCAGCCTGCACCCTTTCCAATCCAGGACCCCTCACGGATGTCCGACTGCCGGTTTAGGCCCAAATTGGCAGTTGGACATCCCTCTCACAATCCGGGACCGCTGGCTCCTAACTGCTCACCTGCCTAACTGCCTGTTCACCCCTAACCACCTCTGCCTGCCAACCTGATTGCCCCTAACCGTTCCTAACTGCTCCCCCCACCAGCCTGGTCACCCTTTACTGCCCCCCACCCCTGCTAGCCTGGTTGCCCCCAACTGCCCCCTCTGCCAGCCTGGTCGCCCCACACAGCCTGCTGTTCAGTGGTTTGGTCGTCCCTCACTAACCCTGCTGCCGGTCTTGTTGCCCCAGGCTGCCTGCTGTTTAGTCGTTACTGTTACTGTGATGGCATCCCGGACAATTTGCATATTCCTCTATTATTAGTATAGATGGGAGATGGTGACGTATCCATGAAACTACGTCCAACGTAACCTGAGGATTGTCTGTATATCATGAAAAAATACTTAAAATTGAGCAAAAAAATTTCTCTCATTTAATATGGAAGAATTTCTGATCTCTATATTCCTCCTCCCCAGAAATATAAAAGTCAAAATATCATTATAAGGTCCTTATCCATAAATGCCTCCCAAAATAACAAGCTAAGTGACTAACAGTTCATGCAATAAATTCAACTTCTAAATGGTGAAATGATTCCCATAGCAATCTATGAAATATTTTATAAATATAAATCAAGTCTATTTTAAGTTATCTACTTAATTGGCTAAAGTTAGCCATAAGTCGAAAAAATAATTCAGCATTTCCAAAGTTAAAAAACTTCGTGTTTTCATTCATAACAAACCTATAATAAAAGCGTAATATGCTAATTAGACCGGATGTCCTTCCGGATGAAGCTTGGGCTGCGAGGGAGGCCCAGGTCCAAGGTGCAGTGCCAGAGGAAAGCCCGGGTCCCGGGTACCAGAGGGAAGCCAGTGCTGGCAGACGGGGTAAGGAAGGCCTACTCCTGCATGAATTTCGTGCATCGGGCCTCTACTGCGTTAATAATGGCCTCCTTAAGAAATATGATATAGCCAATTCCTGAACTTTTACATTTACGTTTCATTAAAATAAAAAAGAGCATTTAATGACACATCAATGCCTGGTTAATCACAGCTGATGTTCAAAAATGGATGAGAAATTAAAACAATTTGATGATATCACAGCTGATTTGGTAATTATAAATCTTGACCTCTTAGTCTCAACTTTAAAGTGATGCTACCTACTTAGCACAAAAAATGTCCAAATATCTCAATATTTTTCTATCTTATGACAAAGGAAATGACAATTTACAAAAAGTTCTGTGGAATAACCTCCTAGTTTATTAGAAACCTAAATACTTCTTTACATGTAAAAAATGTTTAAAATCATTTAGGTCATTTCTTTATAATAGAAAATTGTCATGATGAAAAAAACACCCCAAAAAAACTCCTAGAAGACTTTATTTTAAGAGAGTGATTACCTCTGAGGAAGGAGGAAGCAGGAACAGTTGCAGAGATGGGACTTAGGTTTTGTTTTAATCTTTAATTTCTTTAAGTAAAAATTAAAAACAAATATGTCTTTTTGGAAACTGATTCCCTGGTTCCAAATAATTCACTACCTCTTTGTGACCTGGGCAAGTTATTTAATGTCCTTGTGCCTAAGTTTTCTCACCTGTAAAATGGGGATAATAATACTTCCTGATATATAGGATTAAATGAGTTGACATATGTGAAGTGCTTAGAATAGTACCTGATATACATGGTAAATGTTATTGTTATTAGCATCAGCCTCATCACATACTAAGAATATGGGGTTGGGGTAGGGGAGTAGAATCTGTTCTATTTTCTACATTTACATTTAAAACATAAATTGTATTTTTCTAACCAGTGATAAATAACCAACTTAAGTGAGAAAGCAATATAAAGTAGAATAACAAAGTTTCAGTCTTCTCAATTTTTAAAAACATGAGACAATACAGGCTTTGGAGTTTGATATTTATTTTTAGCAGGAAGAATATGCTAATGATGATGACACCGTTAGAAGATACGCCATGTCCAATACCTGCAACAAAAGCTCAACAGAAGTTAAAGAAACCATACCAAAAGACTAAAGACAAAAATGTATGACATTACTTACCCTTAATTCTGCTAACAATAAAACAAATAACAATATGTTTAAGATTGAAGTTCCATTACAAGATCAAAAACTAGTAAGTTAACTATCAAAAGTATCTTTTAAACCAATTCTTTTACTTTCTATGGAGAACTGGACAACTTCTCTAAAGGTAGAGAGAGCATGGTGTCAACAACTATGTTCTGAGAGTATATACAAGGTGGGGCAAAAGTAGGTTTACAGTTGTTCATATGGAAAATAACACAAGAATAAATAATAATACAAGAATAAACTCTGGGTAGACAACAGCATGGCAATTACCAGAGGGAAAGAAGTATGGGGGGAGGTAGAAGAGGGTGAAGAGGGGAATACATGGAGATGGAAGGAGACTTGACTTGGGGTTGGTGAACACAATACAATATACAGATGATGTGTTATAGAACTGCACACTTGAAACCTATATAATCTTATTACATGTCACCACAATAAATTCAATTAAAAAAGAAAAGAATAAACTGTGTTTCTTATACTCACAACTATAAACCTACTTTTGCCCACCCTGTATGTGAGCAGAGGAGAAACAAACTGAAAAGGGGTAATGCTAAATTAAGAGCTAAGACATAAGGTAAGAGCTCTATTGCTGGTATTTCATCAAGCAGATGCTCTCACAGGTAGAAATGGCAACCATCTATGGCACAAATAGAGTTTGCTGAAACAAGAATTAAACACTATAGAAATGCTTGAATTATATGGTCTTGACCCTGAGAGGAGGGGAGGACGACTAAACACTAATGAAGAAAAGCAACTTAATAGAAGCGACATCATAACTTACTACAAATATGCAGAGAGCAATCTCTAAATAGAGGGACCCAGATAATTTAGAAAGTCTCTTATGTATTATTAGAATAAGAAATTACTAGAGCAGTATGCAACTTAAACAAGCGCTAGTCAAATGAAAGAATCTTTTAAATAAAACCAAATCTGGCCCATCCACTTCTGACCATTGCTATTCTAATCAAAGGAACTCTCACATTAACTGCTGCACCTCCAGATTTCTCATCAACAGTGTCAATTCTCAATTTAAAGGGTATGTATGAGCTAGGAGTGGGTGGGAATATGTTATGCATCAGGATCAGGGATAAAACAAAGGCATAACTTAAAGATTACCTTCCTGAGCAAAACTGATGAATTGTTCGGGAACAGAGAATGGGAACTAGCACATCCACAACAAATTCTATGCCCCAAAGTCTTTTTATTTAAACCTTTTGTATACCCAAAGGTTTCATGTATTCAGAACAGGAATTAAATATTTCCAAACATAATTTACTGTATTTGATACTAGACTGTGTAGTAATTGCTATTTTCCCATTATTTTTATTCTTGAAAATAAGGATTTTAACTCATAAGGTAAATTACTATAACTGGAATCTCATAGGAATACGTCTTCAATGCAACCAATTCTGCTAATTCAAATCTCTAAATTTACTTAGGCAGGTTGATTTGATCCAAGTAGAAAGAAACCATTAATGCAAGTAGTAACTTACCTGGGCCACTGTCTAAAAAAGGTCTATTTAAAAAAATGTGCAGGAACATCAAGATATAAATTACTACCAAAAAAAGAAATTAATGAAATAAACACTAAAGAAGGAAAAGGTTACGCACTTCCAATTTATGCTCTTTCTCTGCAAGGGCTTCCTTTTGACAACGAAGAAAATCTGCTAACATTCGAGTAAGTTGTTTCCTATCATCTATTTCAGCCGCCAATCTGCCATTGTAATCTGCCAGCAACATACAAGCATCCTCTACCATTTTAGAAAGCCTTTCTCCAGATTCTTTATCTAAGAAAAGCACAGAATAATAAAATTATTGCAAAAACAAACAACAACAACAAAAAGCACAATGTCATATAATATTCCCTCACCCAAACTCCCTCCAAAATTCAGATCACATTTAGGACACCTTACCTGTTATTTTATCTAGTAGGGATACTTCTTGGACTTCAACAGGCAAAGAAGCTATCCTCTGATGAACTGCTGCATCACCTGTAGCAGCATTTTCTAGATCTTGTAATGCTCTAACGAGATCTAGAGTCTAAAAAGTTATACAACTTTAGAACCAAAATAAAGGAAGCTTAAACAAATACAAAATATGACATTTATTTCATATTTTAAAAAATTTTTATTTCACATTTAATCCTTATGAGCTACTTACTAATTCAAAGTTTCAAATATCAATTGCTCTAGAAGACACTCCATTTCTTTTGTATATTAAGAAAAAAAGCTATACTAGTTACTGGAAATACATAAATTGGAAACATATAACTGAGATGTGGCCCTTGGCCATGAGAAACTCATACTTCAGTGGTAGAGACAGATAGTGTAAAAATAATAATCTGACTATTAAATTGATGTGGTTGATTTATATACCAAACACACACAATGGTAAAAGGGAATGCAGACTATAACTTAAACCTGGACAAACAATTTTATGTATGATATAGTCATTATATTATCATTATCCTTGAATAGAATTTTGCAATATGAAAATATACATTGGGGGAGGGGGCTACAAATCACCTATCACAACACAGAAGAGTCTCCCACGCTCCATTTCTAAATGATACACTTAAAGCATAGGAAAAATGTAGTTTTGGAATATGCTTAAATATGGTGCCTTCAATTATTCTATAGTTTGTTAAGAAGATCATTAAAATATTACAAAGTTCCACATATTTGATGACTAGTACTTATATAATGCTTAACCAGTAATTATTTTATTAGAAATTTTAGTTGCATTGTTTCATATACCACCTATAATTAGGAGGGAAGGGAAATCTTTGCTGGTGATTTCACAATTCTATAAAGTGATTCCAAAGAAAAATGACTACATTTTCTTTTTACTAGTCTTCATCCCATCCTACCTCCTTTCTTTTCTTAATCTCTAAAACTAGATCCTGGGACACTAATTATACTCATACTTGAAAAATACGGAAAGTTACCAATTCTGTGTATATATTAAGATGACACCGACAGATTACTGATTTTTCTTTAAGTTATTTCCTTACAGAAAAGCTATCACTGGCATTCTAGTACACAGCAAATGATTAAACAGCATAAGAATGAATGGAACCCAATAAGAAATAAGTATACTTTTAATTCATTACTAAGTTTCAAATCCCAATATTAAAAAATTTTTTCATTATAAGATATATCCCTTCAATGAAAGTGAGCTTAAGAGCAATGACAATTACCAGGAAGCTTATTTCTCATGGTGCCCCAATTCACATGTATACACACTAATATATATAGGGTGAACAAAAGTAGGTTTATAGTTGTGAGTATGCCAAACACAGTTTGTTCTGTTTATTCTTGTATTATTATTTATTACTTAGTGTATTATTTTCCATATGAACAACTGTAAACCTAGTTTTGCCCACCCCTGGGTGTGTGTGTAATTTTTTATCAGCCTTAGAGAGTTCTAAAATTTTCTGGAGTTCCAAGAAGCCTGGCTTCATGGTTTTGACAACACATGCATGCTTTAACTACAACTTATTCTATCACATCTTCACATTCCCACAAGTTAACTCTAAATTCCCAATGCTGAGTCAAGGATCAGATAATAAAGCAAAGTTGTCTGAAACAACACTAGCCTAGGACTTTCTAATAGAGAAGAATGAAATGAGTTCAGCTGGATCATACAAAGAAAAATTTTAGTCATTCTTATAAAGAATGAGATAAATAAAATGGTGCTACAAAGCTAGTAGTCACCATTTTATCAGATTAGTTATACTGCTTAATTCTCAGTTAAAACCACTGAGAATGAAGTAGTATAACTATAATCTGAAAGTGGTCAATATAAAACGAAAAGCAACAAAATAAAAAACAAAAAACTAAAAGCAACAATATTTATACAAGCACTAGAGAAGCAGATGGTTACTCAAAGATACTCCTAAGGAAATACAACTGAGGTTACTCTTTCATCAGGGATTGTAGGAGAGGGTCAGACCCTCTCTCTAGAATTCAGATAAACTGTTCATGATATCATAATAAAGCTCTTAAAGTGATTCTCTGTCTTATTACCAAATGGAAATATAAACCTTAGTATTTGTCTGTTTCAAATGTTATGTTCTTATTGCTTTTCTAGCTCTCATCCTTTGGTGACCACACTGGCTTCAGCATTCCTGTCACTGCATCAATAGGTAGCTTGGCTCAGGCCCTAGTTGAGCACCTTGGTTGGATTCTTTCTGCCTCCCTAGTACTAACTGATATAAACCCACACTTCTAGGAAGGAACCAACCGTACCTTTCTTTCAAGCTCCTGTCATGAGGAAAGAGCTCTACCAGCCTCTGGTTTTATGCAGAGTTTGGGTCCAGTCCTCCAACTCCCACGAAGCACTGTGTTTCTTGATACCCTCTAGGATATTAATTTCTGGCAACCCATGTTGGCTTCCAGATCACAGCTCAGCAGAAATCAGGCCCTAGCTCACACAGAGTTATGTTTCTGTACCATTTCTAGCCCACCATGATATTTACCTTGTTTTAAGAGTATGGCTATGTCTTCATTTTCTCCTTTTAAATTTTATCTGTCCCTCCTATATGTTTGAAACATAGAAGGAGGAAGCTTTAAGACTCAATGCCCACATAATAGTTAAAAATGTCTTTCTGGAATCATCTAATGGTTAAGGAATGCTATACTATATCAACCTGGGAGGACATGGAATATTAAGTTAATGATTCTAATCCAATTTATCTTATCAAGAAACTACACAGTCCTAGTATAGTCACACAGAACTTGTTCTTCTAACACTGGTTTTTACATATTTAAAAGCAAAAATACTTAAAAGGGTAGTGTTATCTCTAGGAATGAAATGCTTAGTGTACTTAAGTGATACAACAAATAGTCTTATATAATATTTTATTTACTTATTTAAAAGGAAACTGTTTAAGTAGAATGTATCTTACCAGACCTCATCATACTAAGCAATCAGAAATCCTTTCTAAACAAAATATGATTGCCCTAATATACACTGCGCAACATATTATATTAAACTTAACAAATGTTAATCAGAAATATAAGGTATTCATGTAGCTTCTTTCTTGTGCCCAGAACTATAATAAAAATCAATTTATAAAAGTGAAACACTGAAATTAATAAAGGTTGGTGACCACGTGAAGTAACTCCCTTAACAGAGAAAAACTTCTACCTGTGGTGGTTCACCTGGAGATCCCAGAGAGGAACAGTTTTCATTTTCATCCACTGTTATCTGTTCATAAGTTCGTTTCCCAGACTTCTTATCACCATCTGAATTGAAAGAAAATTTAAGTTTTAATGAAAGAATACATTTTTGTTATTGTTATTATTTATGCATCCACTGGTTGATTCTTGTATGGGCCCTAACCGGGGACCGTACCCACAATGTTGGCATATCGGGATGACGATCTAATCAACTGAGCTACTCAACCAAGGCTTAATGAAAGAATACATTTTGCCCAACCGGTGGTTCAGTGGTTGAGCGTCAACCTATGAACCAGCAGGTCACAGTTCAATTCCCGGTCAGAGCACATGCCTGGGTTTGTGGACTCAATCCCCAATGTGGGACATGCAGGAGGCAGCCGCTCAATGATTCTCTCATCATTAATGTTTCTCCCTCTCTCCCTTCCTTCTCTGAAATCAATCAGAAGATATAAAAAAAAATACATTTTTGAGAGGGCGAGGGGGGAGAGAGAGGCATTTTCTAAGCAAATGCTAAGAAATAGAAAGTAAGTAGCACTATTCATATCAAGCAAAATAGAATTCAAGGTGAAATCCATCAAGAAGGAAAAAAGGAACATTTCATATTGATAGAAAGAAAAATTCACTAAGAGGGTAGAGGAATCATAAATCCTTATGTCCCTTAAAAAAATAAATAAATAAATAAAAAATAAAACAAAAACAAACAAACAAAAAATACATTTTAATGAAGAGATCATGATAAAAGATTATATACTTACACAGAGCTTGCTTAAGTTGTTCTAATACATCATTTTCATAAACAGATCTTTCTTCCCAAATAGAAAGCACTCTTCCAAGGTGCCTCTTACAACTTTCATCAGTTTCACTAAAGAAAAAATAAAAATATTAACAGTAAAAAGCATAGTGCTATTGAAAAGATAAGGGTGATTTTAAATACAATCAGACACTCATTCCCTGAAAAGAGCTCCAAAATGTTTACTGAGCACCATTATGTTCAGGGGTGCAGTGAGCCAAACAGACATACTTTTTGCTTCCCTTAAAGAGTTTATAGACATATTATTAAACAAACAAACAAAAAATGCAAATGTGTTAATACCAGCTACTAGGGGTTTACAAAGAAGATGCCCCTAACCTAATGGGTGCTAAACATGAGGCTAAAGAAGATGTCTAATGGGTGATTTTGAAATTTATTCAACAAATATTTATTAATCAAAGCACTACCTTTGACGTAGGCAATAGAAAGGAGCTTTATGGCAGCTGTTTTTATAAATGCCACAAAAGAGAACAAGGTGTTAAAGAGAGGCATAACAGAGACCTGGCCCAATTCTAGAGAGATCAGGAAGGATACTTGAGGAAGTGATATTTATTTTAAGATCTGAAGATTGGATACACAGGGAAATGGAAAACAGACTTACTCCCAGGGACTTCCTACTGCCTTCATCACTACCAATGTAGGTTGAACCACTATTATCTCTGTCCCAGATTTAAATCTTCTCATTGATCTCCCAGACTTTATTCTCACTATTCTCTACCAATGTGAATCAGATTACACTAATTTTCTAAGAACTGTCAATCATACCAAGAATAAACTTAAAATCCTTATTCTGTGCTACCAGGTGGACATATTCTGCTTCCTGTCTACCTCTTAGTCTACATTCCCTAAATATCTTCTACAAATCTCCTTGCTTGACTTGCTGGTTTCTCAGTGGTTAGAGCGTCAGCCTGAGGACTAAGGGCTGTGGGTTTGATTCAGGTCAAGGGCATGTAACTCAGTTGCAGGCTCGATTCCCAACCCCAGTTGGGACACGAGCAAGAGGCAACCAATCGATGTGTCTCTCTCACATCAATGTTTCTCTGTCTCTCCCCCTCCTTTCCACTCTCTCTAAAAATCAATGGGAAAAATATCCTCGGGCCTTAGCCAGTTTGGCTCAGTTGGTGTCAGCCTGCAGACTGAAGGGTCCCAGGTTCAGTTCCAGTCAAGGGCACATGCCCAGGTTGTGGGCTCGATCCCCAGTAGGGGGCGTGCAGGAGGCAGCCAATCAATGATTCTCTTGCATTGATGTTTCTCTCCCTCTCCTCCCTCTCCCTCTCCCTCTCGGAAATCAATAAAAATATATTTCTTAAAAAAATATATCCTCAGGTGAGGATTAACAACAAAAATCCCCTTGCTGCTGATCCTCAAAAATGCCCAGCACACAGCTGTCTCAACGTTTCTGTCAAGTATTCTCTCTACTTAGAATCCTTCTCTTCTAAAATCACATGGTGCTCATTGCATCCTTTCCTTTAGTCTCTGTTGAAATGCCACCTCCCTAAGATAGTCATATTTTATCTCATGATATAACTGAGCAACGTCATGTATCTCTAGTTCCTTCCCTGCTTTATGTTTCTTCATAGTACTTATCTTTTGACATTATAATATATATTCACTTGTCTATCTAGTTATTACCTGTGTCATCCACTGAAATGTAAGCTCCACTAGAAGACAATTTTGTCTTGTTCACTATTGTATCCTTTGGACCTAGCACATGTAGGCAGTCCATAAATATTTTACTGAATTCTAGGGAGATATAATATATAAAAGCCCTAAGGCAGCAAGAAATAAAAGAGGTTTGGTTAGCTTAAACTGTAAACTATAGAGTATGAGTGTGGAAGGAGTGAAAGAGAAGAGTCTGAAGAGGTAGACAGGGCCATGAAGGAATATCTTTTTTTTTTTGCTTTTACTTTTTTATTTACTAATTTTAGAGAGAGTAGAAGAGGTGAAGAGAGGAAGAAAGAGAAAGAGAGAGACAGAGAGAGAGAGAGAGAGAGAGAGAGAGAGAGAAAGAGAGGAAGGAGGGACAGAGAGAAAGAGAAACATCAGTTTGTTGTTCCACTTACGTATTTATGCATTCACTGGTTGATTCTTGTACGTGCCCTGACCAACTGAGACACCCCGTCAAAGCTAAAGAAACATCTTAAGTCTTGCTCAGGACATTATATTTGATTTCCAGTATAAATGAGAATGACTCCAAGGCAAGGGAGTGTTATGATCAGCTCTGCAACTCTGACTACAGTTTCTGAAAGGATTAAACAATAGTGGAGGCTACTGAAATTGTACAGAAATGACATTATGGTAATTGGAATGGGGAGAAATCTAAAGAACTGAGGGAACTCTATGTAGCATATGGAATAGGAGGAGAGGAGGAGAAAATAGAGCATGGTATAAGAAAGATGACACCTAATTTCTCACATAGTGATCTCACTGAGAGTGAAACCTAGAGGAGAAGCAATGTATAACACGGAGCAAGGGCATAATGAGTTCACTATCAGACATGGTGAATTTGAGCTGTTTGGAAGCACACAACTAGAAATTCAATATGCAATTGGACATACAAGTCTAAAAGAAAAAGATATCTGGACTGGAGCAATAAGATTGAGAGTTATTTGGGTGTGGATAATAACTAGTTACATGCAGTGTATGAAATCATCCAGAGGGCAAGTGAAGAATATGACCCCAGAAGAGGGCCTAGGACTGAACTCTAAGACTTAAATACCAACATCTAAAAAGATGGTAAAAGACAATATCAAAATTAAAGGAAAAATAATATTTATTCAAGAAAGCAACATACAGCAGCATTTCACTCTGTAATTTTAAAAGAATGCATCCAATGTGACTAAAACTGTAAAGGCATATGGTGAGTGTATTTTCATCCTTAACTCATTCAACACAAATCACCATTCACCACTGAACTATGTAATTTAGATTAATCTAATAGTTTATCCCAATAATGTTTACCCAGTTATTGACCAAGTATTTGCATATGATGTTTGGAAATAAACATTTTAAAAGGACATAAGCCAAAGTAGACTCCTACCCTCAGAATCTTTCTGTAGCAAAATTTTCCAACAGGTTGATGATTATTTTAAATATCCTAGATTTCCAAAGCATTTAACAATATTATGACACATACCCACACACTACAAAACCTTAAAATCATTACAAGTAATAATGAGAAGAAAACATACTAAGTTTATCCAGAAACATTAGCTGGAATAATGATAGCTTTATAAGTCACAAATTTTCAATTCAACACCTTCATTCATTCTGAACAATGTTCATTCCAACACGGCAGTTGCTTTTGATCTCTTTAAAGAAAGCTGTAATTCAAGTACTCTAAATGCCTACCTTAGCAACAGTTAAAAAAAATTTTTCTTCACAGAAACATGTAACACATTTACAAATGCCATTTATAGATGTCTTTTCAAATGAAAACTTCAAAGAAATACATTCCTTGGTTTTTAATTTAATGGCGTAAGGCAAGTTTAGCAAAAGGACATATTATGCATTTAAAACAGATTACCTAGTACCCAAAATAGTGATCATACCTTGAAACATGCTTAAAAGCCTCCACTATAACTGGTGCAAAATCTTTTGTAAACTCCGGCCCCTTCCTTTTGCTGTTCTGAATGACATCATTGGCTAGGTAGAGAAAAGTAAGCTTCCTGTTTGGTTTGGCTGAAAAATAAAAAAATTTTAAAATCTACTTAAAATATCCTCACTTAACTTGAACAAACTTTCTCAACTCCTGAATTAACCTGTTTGAGAACTACAACCAACCTACTAACCATTATTTATCATGTTAAACCCTAGCTTCTCATTCTACAACTAAACTTATCAAGTTACTATCCTTCAACTCACCAGGATAACTACTCTATGGTTTCTGGAGATCAATTATGTATCTTTCTGTTTCATCGCTGTTTTACTAAGTCAACCAAACTACTTTTCATTGATGGCTAGTCTTATCACTATTCCCAAACTAATACTTTTATACACTGAAATCCTCGTGTCGGTGCAAAAATGCACCTCTGTGACTGTCTGGTATAAAATTTTATTAAATCTATTAAGCACTATATGAAATCTAGTCTTTTAAAAATAATGCACAAACAACCAAATAAAAAATCAATTACAAGGTTTCAAAAACCAGAATCTGGGACATTAAATAAACAATATGAAACAAACTTAATCAGGATTCTAGAAATGCCAACTAATTTCACTAATTCACAATCAGTTCATAATCTATTTTTGTTTATTCATAATCAGAAAGTGGTAGGGTCAATACTTCTTTTCTTTTTTAAATATATTTTATTTACAGAGAGGAAGGGAGAGGGATAGAGAGTTAGAAACATCGATGAGAGAGAAACATCGATAAGCTGCCTCCTGCACACCCCCTACTGGGGATGTGCCCGCAACCAAGGTACATGCCCTTGACTGGAATCAAACCTGGGACCCTTGAGTCCGCAGGCCGGCGCTCTATCCACTGAGCCAAACCAGTTAGGCATTTACTTATTTTCTTAAACTGTACAGACCATATGCCTACTCATTTTGATATAATGCAGAATATCATAAACTTAATCACCCATGTTTCCATGGAGATTAAAATTTAAAATCACAGTGGATTTGATGAATACAACAGAAAGCTAAAATTGTATTGTGCTACCTATAAATTTCAGAACCCTCTCTCCAGGGGAAGCTTTCTACATGGAGAGAGGCAGAAAAAAAACTGAATAAACTACCCGGTTGGCATGGTTCAGTGACTGAGCATCGACCTATGACCAGCAGGTCACGGTTCGATTCCCAGTCAGGGCACATGCCTGGGTTTCAGGCTCCATCCCCAGTAGGGGGAGTGAAGGAGGCAGCCAATCAATGATTCTCTCTCATCACTGGTGTTTCTATATCTCCCTTCCTCTCTGAAATCAATAAAAATATTTTCTTAATTTGAACAAATATACACACACGCACACGCACGCACGCAAACACACACCCCAAAGAGCATTACTGTAGGTCTTACAGAAGGAAATCAGAAAAGCCATTATCTTGAAACAAAAATATATTAAAGATTTATTATTAATTGCTGGATAGCCTCATTTATTCCCCTGGCAAACTGAATCACTACAGCATAGAAGACATGTTCGGTAGATGGATAGGGGGTTGTAAGGCACAATCTACTTTAACTTAGTAATATTCTTTGCCACAGAAAGTGCATAATCAACACGTAATTTTTTAAAGGGCTTTATCTGTCCCAGATTAGACAAACAGTTCAGTCAAACACAGCTGGCTGCACCTTAATAGCTGAGGTGGGTGAAAAATGGATAGAGCTGGTGTATTCCTGTATCGCTGCCAGGATGCCTCAGACTTAGCAGCCCATCCATCCCTTGTGCTTTAACCCCTTTAAAGATTTTCTATTGTTCTCCAGATAACATTTTAACTCATTATTGTGAACCCAAAACCCTAACAGGTCTGTCCTCTACACTACTCTCTTCATGCCCACTACTACTACTCCAATTTCCTCAACTCCTACCCATCCTTCCGACCTGTTAAATGGGTTCCTCTACACATACGTTAGGCAGCCCTGATATGCTCTCGTAACACTTCATACTTTTCCTATGGAGCACTTATAATTACTTTATGTAATATTGTGCTTCCCAAGTAAACTAAGTTCCATGGAAAGCAACAACTGTCAATCTCAACTACCAATCTATGAAAATCAAGCCTAGCAGCTGACTCAGAATTTGCTCAGTATTTATTATGTCAATAAACTTTGGCCTAGACCTATGTCTTTACTAGTAATTATTTGTACCAAGAACTTGGCATCCAGTCTTAACCTCACCCTGCATAGCTGAAAAGGGGAACACTTGTGAAATTACACTGCTCTCAGCAACCTCAATTTCAAATTATGAAAGACAAACTTTCCTACAGGTCCAGCAGCTCTTGCTTATTTTCAAAACTGGTTTGGCTCAGTGGATAGAGCATCGGTCTGTGGACTGAAAGGTCCCAGGTTTGATTCTGATCAAGGGGATGTACCTTGGTTGCGGGCACATCCCCAGTGGGGAGTGTGCAGGAGGCAGCTGATCAATGTTTCTCTCTCATCGATGTTTCTAACTCTCTATCCCTCTCCCTTCCTCTCTGTAAAAAATCAATAAAATATATTTTTTTAAAAAATGGGCAAGTACTGTGATGGCAAGGTCAAAGAAACACAAATGTCAAGCAATTAAAAACAATTATCATTTTCAACATATTAGATGAGTGGTTCTCAACCTTCTGGCCCTTTAAATACAGTTCCTCATGTTGTGACCCAACCATAAAATTATTTTCGTTGCTACTTCATAACTGTAATGTTGCTACTATTATGAATCGTAATGTAAATATCTGATATGCAGGATGGTCTTAGGCGACCCCTGTGAAAGGGTCGTTCGACCGCCAAAGGGGTCGCGACCCACAGGTTGAGAACCGTTGTATTAGATGAATCAAAATGAAAGTATGACACTAAAATTGGCAACAGTATGGGTAAGAGTACCACCATTAGATACCTTCAGATATTGGTAGTTAAAATATAAATTAGTGCAATGTCTTAGAAAAGTAATTCAGTGGCTTGGCCGGTGTGGCTCAGTCGGTTGAGTGTCGTCCTGTCCACCAAAAGGTTGCCAGTTCAATTCCTAGTGGGGTGTGTAAGGGAGGCAGCCGATCAATGTTTCTCTCTCATATTAATGTTTCTCTCCCTCTTCCTCTCTTTAAAAAATCAAAAAAAACACATATATTTTAAAAAGTAACCTGGTAATATCTATGAAAAATGTAAATAGACAAATCCCTTGACCCTGCATATTTCACTTTAGGAATATATACTATTGATAAATTCATCATAATGCACAAAGAAATCACTAAGGATATTGGTGATAACATCAAAAAAGATGACTAAAGAAATCATGGTATATCCATTACATGTTTTAAGTAGCAGTTATTTTTGTTTATTTGTATGTACTCTATGGTGGAAATGTTAAATCCTGATAGTTTTTACTACAAACTCTCAACCACTTAATTTTAGAGCAGAATTATATGTTTTGGGGGATTTTTGTGCTCCACCTGAATTTAGAAGTAATGTCAGAAAATATTAAGCATGTCCTTTTTTTAGAAAGTACAAAGTTTCTTATCATCTTATTACCATGGTAATTCAAGTGAATTAGGAGTATTTAACTGCAATCTTGAATTATAAAGTTGGGATGCAGATATCTGTATATATATATCCATCCACATCCACTAGAGGCCTGTTGCACGAAATTCGTGCACTGGTGAGGGGAGGGGTCCCCTCAGCCCAGCCTGTGCCCTCTTGCAGTCCGGGAGATGTCCGACTGCAGTCGGACACCCTTAGCGCTGCCATGGAAGTGGGAAAGACTCCCGCCACCACTGCTGCGCTCACCAACTGTGAGCCCAACTTTTGGCTGAGCAGCGCTCCCCCTGTGGGAGCGCACTGACCACCAGAGGGCAGCTCCTGCATTGAGCGTCTGCTCCCCTGGTGGTCAGTGCGCATTATAGCGACGGGTCATTCCGCTGTTCGGTCGATTTGCATATTAGCCTTTTATTATATAGGGTGTGTGTGTGTGTGTAGAGAGAGAGAGAAGAGAGATCTCAGGATCTCAACTGATATAAAGTAAATGAGCAACTACCTAGTGGATTTTTTTTTAATAACTGGCTTAACCCACACTTTCACAACAAACTTAGCCTCACTTCAGCATTTATCGTTGTCCATTCAACAATGCTCCAAAAAAGGGAATGTTAGGAAATAACTGAGAATTACTAAAATACTTTATTTTTGGTTAGAAAAATATTTCTAGGGTATTTGGAAGCTGGATTTTTTTTTGTATTACCTATTCATATCAGCTAAAAAAAAAACAACAAAAAAAAAACCATTCAAAATATTTAGGTTTGCCCTGACTGGTTTGGCTCAGTGGATAGAGCGTCGGCCTGTGGACTCAAGGGTCCCAGGTTCGATTCCGGTCAAGGGCATGTATCTTGGTTGCGGGCACATACCCAGTAGGGAGTGTGCAGGAGGCAGCTGATCGATGTTTCTCTCTCATTGATGTTTCTGACTCTCTATCCCTCTCCCTTCCTCTCTGTAAAAAAATCAATAAAATATATATTTTTTAAAAATTCAGGTTTACATGTTAGGTCTCTTTGTAAGGAGTTGCCATACCTCACAGTTCAAAATGTATTCTATAAATCAGTAACATTATACTGACATGTAATTGGAATTTGCTATGCAGCAAAAATTCAAGAGTAATAACCTACAGTGTCTATTTACCTTTGTATAGGCAATTGCTTAAGTTACTCTGTTTTTAACATTTGTACTTAGACAAAATGCTTATATATGTATAGCATATACATATATGCTATACATATATAAGTGCAAGATGCTGCTAGCCCAGTCACAAAATATTAAAGTTATTTTGTGAAGACTGATTATTTTATTAAAACTGTTATGGCCATTATACCTATAAAACACACACACACACACACACACAAAACACGAGGTTGCTAAATAAATAACTCAGTTGACAAAGGGGGAAAAGCATTTATGCTGCTGTGCCTATATGAACCGCATTTCAGAATCACCAATGGTTGATGAAAGAAAGTTCTTTTTTATTTTTTTTAAATATATTTTATTGATTTTTTACAGAGAGGAA